TAAGCATCTATCGTTGTCCTACCCACAGTACAAGTGCTAAGTCTGAGAAGAAAGAAGCTATTCATTGTTTCTAAGAAGTATATAAGAAGTAAAGATGCTATTCAGATTTGGTGCATTCTGTGCACAGGTAGCAGCTCTTCTGTCAATAGTCCTCCACAAAGCTCCTCTGGGTGATCGAGAACAATGTAACAATTTTCTACTTCCAAACAACTTTGACCGTACTTCCAAAAATATCGCCAAATGAAAAGTGTATTAAGCAGCTTGATATTACTTGTGATTTAAGGTTAGTTGTTGATATGATATCACAGTATAAATTTCACACATAAATGCCATTTTGCCCTGTGATTTTTAGGTTGAATTCATTAAGAAACAGTATTAAGTTTGCAAGAAAAGTTAATTTCTAAAGTCATTCAGTGTTTGAGCATCGTAGTTGAAGGCAGTTCTCATTTAGAAAAAAAAATTTTAAGTATGTTTTTTATTAATTTTTAGAGAGAAAAAGGGAGAGGCCTAGAGATAGAAACATCAATAAGAGAGAAACATCATTGATTGGTTGCCTCTTGTACTCCCCCTACTGGGGATCGAGCCCAAAACCTGGGTATGTGCCTGACTGGGAACCATTGAGCCACACCAGCTGGGCTCATTTAGAAAAAATGTAATTTCAGGTCCAAGATAAAAAATTGCAATAAGACTTCACTACCCCCAAGCCACCAAACTGATGTGTGGAAGGGCAAGTCAGGATATTGAGCTTCTATTTCTGACCCAAACTCACCAAACTAATGACTTAGAAAATTTTTTATGGATTCTAGAGAGAGGAAGGTAGAGAGAAACACAGATCAGTTGCCTCCTACACATGTCCAACTGGATCAAACCTGCAACCTGGATATGTTCCCTGACCAGGAATCAAATCTGTCTCTTTTTAATGTGCAGGACAATGCTCCAACCAACTGAGCCACACCGGCCAGGGCTGAACTGATGAGTTTTAAGTCCATGAGAGTGAACAAAGTTCACTATTGACACTTGTTCACTAATACATATGGATTCAAATATTTTCCACAAAGTATCTGTTGATGATTAATACAATGAATAACCACAGGTTTTAATCATCTTACATTTTCACAGGCTTTGTAAATTTGTCCACCTCAAGTTTTTTCTTCTTCACATATATTTTTACCACCATTGGTTGCAACACATGTGCAGCTTTGTTGCAGGTTCCATTTAAGGTTGTACTGAATTAGTGATTTCTCATCTCCTTTGAAATATTCTTGCCTGTGGTTGTTTCATGCAAATTATTCATAAGTCTAATTCTTCAGTAACTACAAAGTCTACACTGGCTTCTGGAACAGCAATAACTGAGCTGTATCAGTAACTTCTGCCAATTCATCAAGAACCAAGGAAAACCACTGGAAATCACTTGCCTTTAAAAAAAAATTGATTACTGATGTTTCTCCCAACATTCTCAAGTCTTTGAACAACTGTCCTCACCAAAAGGCTAATATAATAGTCTTAAGCAAAGTTTAAGTGCTGTGGGCCAAGGCAGAATTGAGTAGATGATATAAGTACTTTCTATGTCCTTTAAAATGTACTTTTTTAAATGATAAAAAAAAAATTAGCCCTAACCGGTTTGGCTCAGTGGATAGAGCGCCGGCCTGCGGACTTAATGGTCCCAGGGTCGATTCCGGTCAAGGGCATGTACCTTGGTTGCGGGCACATCCCCAATAGGGGGTGTGCAGGAGGCAGCTGATGGATGTTTCTCTCTCATCGATGTTTCTAACTCTCTATCCCTCTCCCTTCCTCTCTGTAAAAAATCAATAAAATATATTTTAAAAAATTATTTGGGTGGAAAACTACCATGTTTCATTGCTTGACGAAGGTAAGTTCCACCACAGTGGGGTCTAACCACTGCTACAATTTACTCATACGTCATTTGTGCACAATAACCAATTAACATGACTGACAAGGTGGCCCAATGACTTGATTTCCTATTAGTCCCATTGACTAAACCAACAGTCATTTCACATCATGCTGAAGAAGAAAAAGCACCAAAAAATACAGGCTAACAAATGTCCAGTCTTTGTGGGTTTTTTGTGATTGAAATGTTTAATAGCTCTCTAGCTTGTGGTCTCTAATTCTGCTTAACAACTAACTTCATTTCTGTGCAGATCATGAACTAGCAAATGTCTTCTAACCCCAAATACTTTTAAAACAAACCTGTATTTGACCACTTGGCTTTTAAAACCATTGGTTTGCACACTCTGAAATGTATTTTTTTTCATTCTGACATTGTCATGTCATAAATTTTAAAATAATGGAGAATTTCATTATCATCACTTGAATGCTTAGTAGCAGCCTGTGGTCTGTTACTTTGCATTGCAAATTTATAAAGAGGGACTTTGGAACCTCAGTCATGGTCAGCCAGAAGGTAGTCTTTCCCTCCCTTGATTAAGCCAATGTTTTTGGAAGTACAGTCAAAGTTGTTTGGGGCCCCTTCTTCACTGCCACTGTGTAAGGAGGCCTGAAACTTGTTCTTTCAGCCAAAGAACTTCAGTTACTATCAAGAGATCACTCCTTCCTTTTCTCCTTGGGTGGTTGCCACAGGACAGAAGGCTGGGGCTCTTCCTGATATCTGAAGATCCTTTTCAGGGAAATCCATTCTGTTGGTGTTTCTTTTTTGTTGTTGTTTCTTTTTTTAAAAAAATTATTGATTTCAGAGAGGACAGGAAAGGGAGAGAGAGAGAGAGAAACATCAATGAGAGAGGATCATTGATCGGCTGCCTCCTGCATGTCCCCTCCTGGGACTCGAGCCCACAACCCTGGCATGTGCGCTTGTTCGGGAATCAAACTGTGACCTCCTGGTTCACTGAGCCACGCTGGCGGGGCCTATTGGTGTTTCTTTTCTTTTCTTTCTTTTTTTAACTTGTTTTTTAAACTTATTTTACTATTTATCTGTTTTTCTTTTTCTTTTTTTTTTAATTCTTTATTAGTTAAGGTATTACAAATGTGTCCTCATCCCCCCCCCCCCCCAACCCATGCTCTCATCCCCCTGTTGTCCATGTCCATTGGTTTGGCTTATATGCATGCATACAAGTCCTTTGGTTGATCTCTTCCCCTTGCCCCCTCGCTCCCCTACTTTCCCTCTGGGGATTAATATTCTGATCGCTGTTTCTCTGTCTTTGGATTTGTCCCTGTTCATCAGTCTATGTTGTTCTCTATATTCCACAAATGAGTGAAATCATGAGGTATTTATCTTCCTCTGACTGGCTTATTTCACTTAGCATAATGCTCTCCAGTTCCATCCATGCTGTTGCAAAAGGCAAGAGTTCCTTCTTTTTTACCGCAGTGTAGTATTCCATTGTGTAGATGTACCACAGTTTTTTAATCCACTCATCTGCTGATGGGCACTTAGGCTGTTTTCAGATCTTAGCTATGGTGAATTGTGCTGCTATGAACATAGGAGTGCATATATCCTTTCTGATTGGTGTTTCTGGCTTCTTGGGATATATTCCTAGAAGTGGGATCACTGGGTAAAATGGCTATTGGTGTTTCTTAATGTTAATCCTAAGGCTTGTCCCACCTCCACACTTCATAAATTTCTCTCTTATACACCTACCTCATAAGCAGAGCTACTATAGGTTTAGAATTCTTTATTTTTTATTTTTTTTATATATTTTATTGATTTTTTACAGAGAGGAAGGGAGAGAGATAGAGAGTTAGAAACATCGATGAGAGAGAAACATCGACCAGCTGCCTCCTGCACATCTCCCACTGGGGATGTGCCCGCAACCCAGGTACATGCCCTTGACCGGAATCGAACCTGGGACCTTTCAGTCCGCAGGCCGACGCTCTATCCACTGAGCCAAACCGGTTTCGGCGGTTTAGAATTCTTTAAAAAAAAAAATATGTTTTTATTGATCTTAGGGAGAGGAGAAGGGAGAGGGATAGAGAGATAAAAACATGGACTGCCTCCTGGAGCCCCTAACCCGGGCATGTGCCCTGACCTGGAATTAAATGGGTGACCTCTTGGTTCATGGGTCCACTGAACCACCAGGCCAAAGGGGTTAGAATTCTTATTCCCAAAAGGTGGGGGGAGAGCATGGGGGAGAAGGGGTTGGAAGAGGTTTTTGGGGGAAAAATTGGAGGACCTATGTCATACTTTCAACAATAAAGATCGAAAAGAATTATTATTCCCACATGGCTAGTGAGTGGCAAGCAAGGCCTCAAGCCAGGTCTTTGGGTGCTGTGTGGCGGGTCCAACATGAGAGCCAGGAGGAGCAGGGGAGAAGCGCCTGAGACTAGGGGTGGGCTGGGAGTGATGCTGACAACACACCTCATGTACCATTCTGGGCAGGCCCCAAGTGGAAAGGACGTTCCCCGCGTCGATTCCACCATCACCCTTACACCCTTACACCTAAATTCGTATGTTCTCCATGGAATCGAGCTGAGTGAAGCCGTGCCCCCTGGCGCCAGTTCAGGGGGCTGAGCAGCTGCGGCGTGAGCGCCCCTTAGTTATGGGTCTGGGGCCGCAGCTCTGCGCTCTGCGAGCAAATACTTGGCAGACGGGGCCCCGACAGAGGGTGCGTGTGCGCAACGAAGGTCACCGCGGCCCAAGGTGGGCTCAGTAGCACGCTCCGCGGCCGGGGTTGGT